TAAAGCAACGCACAAGATTTAAATTAAGACTTACATAAAAATCAACAAGTAAACACGATAGGTACATAATCATATCATATGAGATTTATTTGATATGATAATAAATAAATTCAAAGAAAGTTTAATATTATGCCAATCGTTTCTTAAATTTAATTAATTAACATATTAAAGAATATCTAGAATGGTAAGTGAATAATTCTGTATTAACATGGCTTGGAAATTCGATGATTCAAATGATAGCAGCCGACACATAAACCCATGGCCAAGAGCTCCACTAATTTTTACTTTACAGAATTTTCCCAATTTCTCACTGACAAACTTTGCGTGGATGGATATTGAAGAAAATTTTAACTTGGTTCAGTTCGGGTCAGAACTACCAGTAACATTTTTTTTTTAAATATTGTAAACTGATAATACAAATTATTTTCTTAATATCTAAGTAGAAACAAAATATGTCATCAAATACATATTTCAACACTTTTTAAATTACTGCAAATATGCAACTTTGTGTGTGGGGCCCAAAAAGAGTTTCTAGGATGAACAACGTGTAAAGTGCTATTTGGATGACTACAAACGAGAGTGACGTGACTCAGTTATTCAAATGAATGAATTCGATTGATTGTGATATTTACAACTTGGTTTGCAATTGCTACTTGTTAGGCCAAGTCATTGGATAGGGTTAATAAATTACAAATATAAATAAACTTATAAAAAATGATAATTCAGATCTGGAGTTGGATATTTACGATTCCTATTCAAGTACCAAGAACCGTCCGAGATCCAGTTGGTTCTCGATTTTCAGTTCCGATTTCTAATTTTTTATTTAGAGTCGAAATTGAATCCCTAATTTCGATTTGTGAAGTTCAATTTACCTAAATGCCCAACCTAATAGCATTGCAACACCATGTGAAGATATTTTTTAATAATCTTTAATGTAATTTATGTATCTTTAATAATATTTTCATGATTGCATTTACTGGTATGGTTCTAGCATTATATTTCTACTATATGGGATGATAATAATTAATACGTTTGGAGGAGTCCACCAATCATGATTTGATAATTGAAAGATATATAAAGATTATGCAAGTCACAAAAGGACGAGAAGATAATGGAAAGATAATGATAGAAGCCCTTCCTGTCTCCACTCCCACCCATCCCACCCCAATCTCTCTCTAGAATAAAATCGACTTTTGTAGAGAGAGATTATACTTTTTTTCTTGGATGTGGGTCTAACATCTATGGCTGGGAGATGGCGTTGTAAAGAGAGATTTTAATGGATGTAGCATTAAGGGCAAGAGGAAAAGTGGTGGAAAAAGATAAGGTGTTTTTGGCAAAATTTCAACCGTTGAGATTAAGTCCATCTTGATGGGGATTTTTAATATATTTTAATAAAAGTTAATAAAATGTATGATTGAAAAATTGTGGATCCAATAAAATATGTTGTTAAAATTAATCATTTACTTTAATTTAAATTTGAAATTTGATTTTAATCTCCGACTAAACATCAGAAGAAATCAAGAAATACATTTTGTGTATTCCATGCTCCCAACTAATTAATGCTGCCTTTGACTTATCAAACAAAATTAAAGTTGATTTAATTATGGGTTTCCAATTATTGCAGATCTATCAAGAAATAAATAAAAAAACATTGTAACAACTAATTTGAATAATATTCACTCTTGGGATACAATCCAACCTTAATTGGTTTGTAGGTATGGCTTGTTCGAAGTACTTATAAACATACAAGGCAAGTCTTCTACGAAAGATTTACGAGGGGAGGAAGGATGCTTAAAGTATGCTTATAAATTTATAAGACCTTTTACGAGCCACGTTAGATACAATTAGATCGTGGCATTCCAACCCTCTTCAAATCAATGTCCACAACAATTCAATTTTCCAAATGGATTGACATCTTGAAATGGACTCAAAAATATTTATGTACATATATTGTGTGTTTCTTACATTTGGATATCCCCCCAAAAATGTAAAAGAATGCATAAATATAATCAATATGGGTGATTGGAATTTCAAATAAATTGATCGAAATATCTTGGTATTTATTTATATATGAAAAGTGCAAGAAAAGAAGTATAGAAGCAGGGCCACCATACCCCCACCCCTACACAACCCACCCCATCAAAGTTCCCATAACCGGGAATGGATTATTTTGTTGAAAAAGTGTGAAACTTTTGGGGAGCAAATTTGTATGGGCCCCTAATCCCCACAAATCATATAATCTATGGTATCCAAGAAATATGATATTTATTTTGGGAAAATATTTGACCACCCTCAAATATTGTATCATTAGCAAGTTAGTCACCAGTTTTTAAATGAGCAAGTTAATCATCAATCTTTCATGTAATTGTATCATCAATTTTCAATAGTGGAAATGGTCTAAGTTTTCTATCTCAAGATCATTAAGTTGGGTAAGCATTTCTTCCACTTCTTTTTCGAAAATGAGAAAGATCTGGATTAATTGTCTTCACAAAATTTCGTCTCATATTAAATTTTTAAGTACAAATTTAAATTCTAATGAAAAATCTAAGTTCATTGAATTAAACGTATGGAATTCACATGACTATAACATAGATTACGATAGATATTGTCAATATGTACGGATAGCAAAATTTCTCAACCCGCCACACTCCGCCTTGTTAGGAATTCGGCATGGGATGGGTAACATGGTTTTGCCCTGAACTTGCCCCAACTCATATGTTTTATTATTTTTATGTTTAAATTTAAATTGTATTTAAAAAATAAATTAAAACACTAAATGTGATGGAAATGGAGATATTTTAATCCTTGTCTCGTCTCCCAAAAATCATCGATAGCGAGGACCGTCCACCCGATTGTCATCCCTATCAATAAGATAAAGAATTGATTGTGCAGTCTTGATGGTGAAAAGTTGAGAACCATTATGTTACATTTAAAATGTTGAAAACCAATTTGTTACTATATACCAGGGACAAGTATGAAGTTTTTCCTTATTCTCTTCTTCTTCTTTTTTTTTTTGTCCATTTCGTACTTGTCCTCTCCATTAAAATTTTCTTATGCCTTGAATCTGTTCCTCGTCAATATTGAAAAAGAGTGTGTGATCCTCGAATGATGAGTGGAAAAAAAGAAAAGTAAAATAATGAAAGTGACAGCAAAAATAATCTATCCATCTATTTGTAAGAGTGTGCTTTATGCACGTCAAAATGAAAATAATTCATTTTTTTGTAATGTGATAACGAATATGTGGTTGAAAAAGAAGGAAAAGTTATTGATGTGATAAAAATTATTATTTTATTGAAAAATGTGTGGTTGAAAATGATTAGAAGAATGTAAATGAAAATAAGAACGTGGCTCAAATAGGGATTCAGACTACTTTGCACATAATACTATTTTTTGTTATTGTTATTGTTATTATTAGTCCATGTTTGAAGCACATTAAAATTTTCATTCTTACTTTTCTATTCATTTTTAATCACCTACTCTTCAATAAAATAATATTTTTTTCATCACATCAATAATTTTTTCTTTTTTTCAACCACACATTCCCTATCAATCTATTATTTCAAAATAGTGTGTCTCAATCGCACCCGTTGTTATTCATTTCGTTATCTGAAAATAGTCTTGGTTTCTATACAGTTCATCCCTTCTTTCCTCCCAGGAGGGTCTCTCTCTAACAACCACACAACCACACATGCACTAAATTGTGCTAGAAAGCTCACAGTCTTTTCCTATATGATATGATTACTCTGCAGAGTGGCAATCTAAATTGATTGATCTCGCAGATGGGCGTGGGGAAGAAAATTGGTGCCGGGCATGAAATTCTTTAGTGTGCTGACAGGTGGGTTTTCCTTGAATTTACATAAATATTCAGTCTTTATTATTTTCAGATTTAAATTTTACTGCACTGGTGAGGCCGGGGTGTTTTGTCCATCGGGTTTGAATCTTATAGGTTATTCTTTGACAAGTACTGTTCCCATAAATTTTCTTATCCAGGCGGGGTTCAATTTTTGTCCACCATTCTCTTGTACAGAGTTTGGCTATTTAGTTTTTGTTCTTTGCTCCTGTTATTTCCCTTCTTGGGTTTTATTTCATGAAAGAGTTTACCTTTTCCTTCATTATTTAACTGCTTGGAAATATAGGGCAACTGAACCAGCAATAATCAATAGCTTATAATTTGTGAGTAATATTCCCAGTTGTTTTAATACCTTGATATGTTTTCAATGGTGGTCTGTGAATCACTTCCTGTTTGTCTCTTGATTTCTTTATTATTTGTGTTTAACCAAGTTGTGAACAAATTTCACATATGTCAGCTGCTATTTTGAATTGTCTGAATTCGTGGCTGTTGTAAAGTGTCATTATATGGAGTTGGGGAAGGACCTGTTCTATTATATCTCTTATTCAATTCCAAGTGTGGCAGGATGCTTGTCCCTGAAAGTGCAACTGAACTCAACTCAATGAAGCTTTATCTGATACGTATTTTGAGAAAGCTAAAAATTATTAAGAGCTTGTTTGGGAGAGATTTTTGAGGAAAAAATTGATTTTGAATAGTTATATAACGAAAAATGTGTGGTTGAAAAAGAAGAAAAAATTATTGATATTGATGAAAAATATTATTTTATTGAAAAATGTGTGGTTGAAAATGAGAATTGATTTGAGAATCAATTTTCCAATAAAAAACAAACACCCCCTATATATCAATCTAAGTATTTATAGGACCAAGTATCTAATCTAATTTCTAATAAATCGAACTCTAATCAAATGACCCAATTATAATGAAGATTTATATNGTTATATTTAAGATAAAACTTGCAGGAAAACTGAAACATGGAACGGGCTAGAGTGGATTTAAGAGCCCATCACTCTGGTTCCACACAATCAGAGGAATCAGCTTTGGATTTGGATAGAGATTATTGTCAGAATCTTAATCTGCCTTTGTCAAGTGCGGTTCCATTGCAAGCCTTCACATCAGGTGGTCAGGTTGACAGCAATGCTGCTTATTTTTCATGGCCTACTTCCAGCCAGGTAATAGATACTGCTGAAGATAGGGCAAATTACTTTGGAAATCTTCAGAAAGGGGTTTTACCTGAAACTTTTGGACGACGACCATCAGGACAGCAAGCTACAACCCTGCTTGAACTGATGACAATTAGGGCATTTCACAGTAAACTTTTGCGGCGCTGTAGTCTTGGCACTGCAATTGGCTTCCGGATCAGGCGGGGTGTGTTGACTGATATACCAGCTATACTTGTATTTGTTGCTAGAAAAGTTCACAGGCAATGGCTTAGTCATGCCCAATGTCTACCAGCTGCTCTTGAGGTTCTAAATTTTGGTGATTATGTTATTAATTTTGATATATTCTGGCTTTACCTTTAGGTACTGCTGCTTTGTGAGTAAGCATGAGTTGTGGCTTTCACACTTATAAAGTTTTCTTGGGGTTTGTTATTATTCTTCAAATGATATCTTCATTTCATGGTTACAATATTGGGTTTGGCTCATTGGAATTTCTTTAGGATCAGTTTAAACTTGTAATTTTTTATGTAAAAATGTATAAATTTAAAACAATATCAGCTACACTAAAACCTTTGGAGCTCGAGTCGCGGAAGATTTAGAAGTTCTTCCTGTAACTCTTACAAGCTCTTGTCTTTGTCATTTCTTGAGCAGGGACCTGGAGGTGTATGGTGTGATATTGATGTTGTTGAATTCTCTTATTATGGAGCACCTGCAGCCACCCCAAAGGAACAACTGTATACAGAACTTGTGGACGGCTTGCGTGGGAGTGATCCATGCATCGGTTCTGGTTCCCAGGTAATAAATTATATTTCTCTAGTCATTCTTATGCATTCTTGTAATATATTCATGCTTCGTATTCTGCCACATAAGAGAATGGTTTTTATATTTAAATATTACAAAAGAATGCTAAATCATAAATCTTCTCTTATGGCAATGCTTTCTCCCAGGATGCTGTTTACGATTTTTAGAATTTCTCCCGAGCAGATATAATTTTTATTGTACTCCTGGTACCCTTGTGCTTGCTTCATTGTTTATTGGTTCTCGTAGATATAAAAAGAAGGTTTGTGAATACAAGTAGTCCGATGTACATGGTTTACCATGATTATGAATGTGTGGCTAACAATTCTAGTGATTACATAACTGACTTATGTGTTGCTCTGGGTTATTATTTGCTGCTATATAAATAATTACACTGATGAGAAGTATAGTACATTTCTAATATTTGGCTATATAATTTACAAGAATGAACATGTCAGGCTATTTATGCACCCCATGAATTAATCCACTAGAGCATTAGATCACGTGTATGCTTCCTAGTCACTGTTTTTCAATTTTGGCAATATTTGTATCCTCTTCTCTTCTCTTCTCATTGACATCAGTTTTCTCTTTATGCAGTGTCTGCATCATGAGAGCTTCTAATAATGTTCATAGCTATGTCATAGACCCACAATTAAATTTCAGCCTATATGCCTTGCTGTTACCATTTCTACATAACCCTGGATTCAAGCATTCTCCCTTTTTCGTTTATTCCTAGTTGTTTCCTAGTTACACCTTCCCAGTGTTTAATAATCTTACGCATTTTTAGGTTGCAAGCCAAGAAACATATGGAACCTTGGGTGCTATTGTGAAAAGTCGGACAGGAAATAGGCAGGTTGGTTTCCTTACTAATCGGCATGTGGCAGTTGATCTTGATTACCCAAGTCAAAAAATGTTTCATCCCTTGCCCCCAAGTCTTGGACCAGGGGTATATTTAGGTGCTGTGGAAAGGGCTACATCATTTATAACAGATGATCTTTGGTACGGAATATTTGCTGGAACAAACCCAGGTAAAGCGATGTAAGATTATAAAATGTAATTGATTAATTATCCACTAGGTGCTACCAAATCATAGAAGTTTGTGTTTCTTAAGTCATCCTGCATTTCTGATTCTACTGTCTAGATAAATAATTCTCAATGGAAGGAGAATTAGAGGAAATGTTTAAGCATGAAGAGATATATACGTAGGGTATCACTAAAGAAAGAAGTGAGTAACTACTGATGAGGCAAAAGGTGGAAAGATTGTCTAAGCTTTCCTTAGCAATTTAATCTGTACCAATATATTTATAGATCAGTAATGTACCAGTAACAAACTGGATGTCACCAATTACATAAGCATTTGGCCCATACTAGTTTCCACTGTAATTGAATAGTTGGTCTATTATTTGTAGCATGAATAATTCCTTCTTGAATCTCTCTACTGTTTCGTTGTATCATTAGAATATATTAAATGTTTGTTCATTTATCATATGGTCTTTCTTCCATCTGATTTTCCTTGGCTTTGCTCTGGAATGCTTATGTGCTAAGTTACTTATGAAAATGCCTTTTATTCATGTTATTGTATAATACTCGTGATTCCACTGTACACAAACATTCAGACTGAGTGAGCAATGCTTCTGTAACTGGAGACTATTTTGCTTTAAAATAACAAGGTAAAATATTGGCTTGGCAGAGGTTGATTTGAGATTTCATGCTGCCATTCCACTTATAAAATTTACTCTCATTGGGTATGTTGAGCTTTTTGTTTTGGTTAATAGTTGTGTATGACAATAATATGATTGCTGAGTCCTATTTTGCATCTTTAGAAACTTATCTAGTTAGCAAATATAAAGGTGTCTCATGATTTCATATTTGTACTAATGGGTATCTAATTCGTCCTGACTCCATATATGACCATTACAATCTTGTGATCATGCAGAAACATTTGTTCGGGCAGATGGGGCTTTCATCCCTTTTACAGAAGATTTTAACATTTCCAATGTGACTACACTTGTGAAAGGTCTAGGTGAAATTGATGATGTCAATAATATAGACTTGCAGTCTCCTATCAGTAGTCTCATTGGAAGACAAGTGGTGAAAGTTGGAAGGAGCTCTGGCTTGACAACTGGGACTGTAATGGCCTATGCCCTCGAGTATAATGATGAGAAAGGGATTTGTTTCCTTACCGATTTTCTTGTTGTTGGTGAGAATCAACAGACATTTGACCTTGAAGGCGACAGTGGAAGCCTTATTCTTTTGACAGGTCAAAATGGGGAGAAACCCCGGCCTGTTGGAATAATTTGGGGTGGGACAGCTAATCGTGGTCGGTTGAAATTAAAAGTTGGCCTGCCTCCCGAGAATTGGACCAGTGGAGTTGATTTAGGGCGCCTTCTTGATCTCCTTGAACTTGATCTCATCACATCAAATGAAGGCCTCCATGGTTCGTATAGGTCTAATTGCCCTCATGACTGGGATTAACTTTCTTGATCCATATAATAGTAGTTGACTTATTTATAAAAGGCCTGACAATATCTCATTTAGAAAAAAAGGTTTAAATATGATTTTTTGAGGGAGAAATTACTAGAAAGAACCAGTGGTAGTTGTAATTATCAATTTTCTCAATAATATGATAAATAAAAGTCATGGCAGTATAAATTTGTTTACAGGTCATAAGGCATCCAAATAGTACTTTCTAGCCTGAGAAGGGTGATTTCTCTGATCATAATTGATGAATTAGGCAGGCACAGGCATTAAAGATCGCATGAATGTGCTTATATATGGACCTGCGTTCTTGTAAATAAATTCCCCCTACTTCAACTGTTGTATATGTCTATTTATTTTGATAGTTGTCCGAATTTTCCACTTCCATTTCTTAGCAGATTTTGTTGTAGTCCAGGGCAAAATTGGGTCTAGTTTGAAGGGTGAGAAGGGGGAAAATGCATTGTATTTTCTTTACCTTCTTCTATGTCTATGTTTTCTCTATGATATCTTCTCCTGATTAAGCTTGCTTTTGTTTCCTGTCGCCTAAATAGCTGCACTGCAAGACCAGAGAAATGCATCAGCAGGAGGTGATTCTACTGTTGGAGAGTCATCATCACTTGGGCGCGTTACTGCAAAAGATAAATCTGAAGAAAACTTTGAGCCAATTGGTTTGAGCATCAAACAAGCTTCTACTGGTAATGATTCTCAGCAAGCAGTACTTCCACCATTGAGGCATGATGACTCCCATATTGAATGTGGAATTGAGAGAGCTCCGGGTGTTGAGCACCAGTTCATCCCGAGTTTTTCTAGCAAATCTCCAGTAAGTCGAAACCAGGCTGCATTGAAAAATCTCTCAGATTTAAGAAATGGGCCGGAGGGAGAGATTTATGTTTCTCTGCAGTTAGGTGAACCAGAACCAAAGAGAAGAAATCCTTCTGATGCTCCATTGGACATTGGAAACTCACAATAAAACTGAACTGCTCCATTTTCTCTCCTTGGATTATCCTTGGGAAAACTATTATGTGCAATCCTCTCCATTCAACGATACATCAATGGCGTTCGGCTGGTACATTTTAGGCTTCTTCTAGAACTCCATTATCATTCTTTTTCCCATATTTTTGTGAAGGTTATAGTTATAGGTTATAAAAATGAGTTAAATAACACGCATGGCAAATGCTGTAAAGGGAATTATAGCTATTTTGTGGTTGTATATCATCTTTACCAAGCTCTACGAGGTCGCAGCCCCGTCAACATATGGAAATAATATGTATTTTTGAGGTGGTCCAGTCTCAGTTAATGTACATGATCAAGCAATAATTCCTATTCTTAGGTGCAAAAACTGTCCTAGTAAATATTTGTTTTGTAAGGTCAGGACACATGATATTAAACCAAAGAACAGAAAATATAAAGTACAGAAATTAAATAATCAACACAAGAATTGTTTCGGACTAAGCCCCGGAGGTTCGGCGACCACACCAAACGCCTACATCCCCAATTGAGCATCCAACAAGTTGGATAACACTCAGTTGCACTATACAGTCCCAAATTGGCAACGAAGGTTACAAATCGTTCAATCAATACACAACTCACAGTAGAACTTTAGTTCACACAGATATTAACACAGAATATCACAATCAAAGAGTGAAACCCTCAAGACAGCCTCAAATCAGAGATTTGAGTAGAGAGATCACGAAGAAGAAAATCGTAAGTGTTTCTCTCAAAACAGAAGACAGAGTAGTATGTTTCTCGAATCGTCCAAATGAAACGTCCAAGGCAGATAAAGGGCCTTCTAGAATATTCAGCCAACAATTAGAATAATTTCACATGTCATCATCACAATGAATGGCAATAAGATAAAGCGTATTCAACAGAAACACACCTTTGTATAAATTCTGGTAGCACAATCATTCGAGCTCAGGGTTCGAATCCCACAATCTCCACATTGCTGCCAGAATTTAGGACTATCAGTGCAGCCAGGAGCATTCCCCATTTTGTTTTCATATGCTCTAAGTAACCTATAACACATCACATAGAATCAACAGATAATATTTTCAAGCAGGTAGCAAATTTATGTAGAGGTACAACTTTAGTGCCCATATTAGAAGGATTAAACTGAGTTGCAATTTTACCAATTTTGATAATTCCTTTTGAAACCACATCTCTTATAAAATGATATTTGTCATCAATATGTTTAGTACGATCATGAAATATAGTATTTTTGCTGAGATGTATAGCACTTTGATTGTCAGAAAACAAGATAGCATGATTATCAATAAATTCCAGTTCAAACTGTAAACCATTTAACCACAGACTCTCTTTTATAGCATCAGTAGAAGCTATGTACTCAGTTTCAGTAGAGGACAGAGCAACTACCTTCTGAAGTTGAGACTTCCAGCTAATAACAGTACCACATAGGGTATAAAAATAAGTTGAGGTAGATCTTCTATTCACCTTATCACCCGCAAAATTAGAATATGTATATCCTCTTAAAATTACACCATTTTTATCTGATTTAAACACAATGCCCAAATTAGCAGTTCCTTTCAGATATCTCAGTAGTCATTTTAGAGCATTCAAATGTTCTTTACCAGGATTACCCATAAACCTACTTAAAATACTTATACTAAAAGCTAAGTCAGGTCTAGTGCAAATCATTAAGTACATAACAGATCCAATCACATTTGCATAAGGCACTTTAGACATTCTAACATATTCACTTTCAGATTTAGGGCAACATTCAGAAGACAATTGAAAATGATTAGCAAAAGGTAAAGTAGCAGGTTTACAATCATACATATTGAATTTCTTCAAAATTTTAATCACAGTCATGTTGGTTCAAAAATAATAGATTTTTATCCTTATCTCTCCAAATCTGTCACAACTTGCAAGCAACATATCATCCACATAAAGCACTAAATATAAAGAATTTTTACCTCCATTACCTTTGCAGTATAGACATGTGTCATATAGATTCCTTTTGAAGCCAAGTGTCAAAATAAGTGTCAAAACGTTTGTACCACTGTCTAGGGGCTTGTTTTAACCCATACAGTGATCTTTTCAGCAGGCATACAAGGTTTCCCCTTTCAAAACCAACAGGTTGTTTCATATCGATAACTTCATCAGCTAAAATGCCAACCTGAAATTGCATTCCACAACCCAAATTTAAGGTTGCTGATTGGTCGTTGAGGTCGGCTTAACATGTCATCATGGTACTTAGGTCTTAGTTGTGGCCTAGGTCATGATTACCTGTCACCTAGGCAATCATTGTTGATTTCTAATTGGCTGACAATGAGGTACTAGTGTCATGAGTGCCACTTGTGAGTTCGGTAGTGATTGTCCTGATGGTGATGACATTACTTAGGAGACGTGTTTAGGGTTACAATGATGATGTTTCTAGAAACGGCGGGAATAGGCTAAACTGACCGATCATGAATCGAGCTGACCTGTCATCGGTAGAGTTAACGTGTCATGGGTCAAGCGAACCTATCATAGGTCGAGCTGACCTAATGACCTTTTAGTCCGCCATCTTTGAAGTGAATATTGAATCTTCATAATCTATCCTTCTTAAGATATGGTAAGCTTGAGATGGTTTTATCCGTTTGGACAGCAACAAATGTCCTCCCAAGGTTTGGATGTTTACTTTAGTGAAGTTTGGACCTCTATTTACAGTTCGGAGTAACGACAATCTTGCTTTTTGGAAGTCAGTCGATCGCAAGTTGGTTCATGAATGAGGTCTAATCAATGACTTTCAACCTTATCTAAGTGATCAATGAGGTCTGATCACTGAAGAGTAGGCTTTTATCTAAATGTTGTAACACTTACAACCTTAAATCATGCTGTTGAAAAGCAAACTTTGCGCCATTGAAGAGCGAACTTGTGCCTAGGTGTTGCAACACTTACAACCTTAGATCATGATGCTTAATAGCAGGCTTTATTCGAATGTTGTTCTTCTAATATTTCTTGGCATCAAAGACATTTGGCGATACATTTTCCTGGCATCTCGACTTCTATTGATGGTATTGTTTTAGAGGTTCCACGTTTCAAGGGTACATAGAGGTGTGCTTTGCATATCTTCCAATTTATAATCGCCCTTTGATGGAATTTTGATTATTTTGTAAGGTTCCTCCCAGTTAGGGCCTAGGGATTTAAGGTTGAGTTCCCTTACAATGAGGAAGACCTTCCTAAGTACAAGATCTTTGATCTCAAACTCTCTTTTGCATACTTTTTGGTAATAATTCTTGGCACTTCTCTATTTGTATAATGTAGTTCTGAGCTCGGCTTCATTCCTTTTTGGGTTAAATGGCCACCTCTTTTAATGTTTAGACTAAGCTGAGGGTCGATGTTGAGACTGTAGGCAACGAACTTTGGATCGATTCCCTTTGTTGCTTTTGTGACTCTAGGCGAACATATCTAGATTTTGGCAGAGAAACTTCGAGCTAACCTCGATTTATCCAGTTCTTTCAGTGGTTCAACTCTTCTATAACAGATGCTTACCACAGGATCTAGTGGGTCGAGGAAAGAATCTGCCACGTAGACCTTGCTTACGGATGTAGAAGGGAGTGGTGGAGCATTCGCCTACTGATATGGAGGTTGTGCTTGTGTTCGATATGTCTGAGTCATCCCTTTGGGCTTGCCTATAAATTCTCGATGTTGACCTTGCCAAATTAAGACTTTCACTTGCTCTTTGAGATCTTGAAATTCTTTGGTGTGTAACCAACGACCTATTATGTAACGCCCTAAATCTAATAAATTTTTTTAATAAAAACAAAAATTTGAAGTGTTGCCAAAATCTTCCTTATCTAATTTAAGCGAAATTTGACACTGTCGAACAAATCTTGTGATTAGATTGGTAAATCAATAATTTAATTTAACAATTTAAATGAGAAATTTTCATATATAAACAAATCCTAAAATAATGCAATTTCGATTGTCAAATTTAATGGGATGTCAACAAGGCTCAAATGCCAAAACTATTAAAATGATGTGCACTTAATTAAACCCAAAAATATTCTTAGAACAAAGATTAGCCATAAACCCTTTGCTAAAATTTTACTTGGCAACCCATAAACATCACTCGTCCAATCTTCCACGAATCCAGCACGATCATTCTAATCTGAAAATTATTGTAAGAGTGAATATTTTGAAAACACTCAGTAAAAATACGTGCAAATTCTTATTTAACATGATATAAATATAAAATGACATAACATACTTGACATTTTTAAATTTAGAGCAATTGGTCGCGATATCAGATAACTCAAGGATTTTCTTGAAAATTCCTATATCCCATGGGACATACATATTTTGGTCTAACGGTCTTTTCCAAATGATTTACATAAAAATTGACCCGACTTAAAGTATTTCATGCCATAATTATATGAGTGTCTAGAAAAATAAGAATTTAACATTACACTATGTATTCTTACATCAATTGACACCAAAATAAATCTGAAAATATATCTTGTAGAATAATAGTTAAAGAAATTCCTTCCAAGAGTCTGCATGTAAGTGAATTGTAAAAATTGAACCTCGTGTGGTTCTTAAAATAAAAAACACTAAACTAAGCTCTTGCCTGAGCTCCAATTTCTCCAAAATACATTCTCTTTTTTCCTCTTTTTAATCACATCTTTCAATAAAATAATATTACACATAAACTCAAAACATTATTTTTTTTTTACTACACATTCTCAAAAAATCAATATTTCAAAATATTTTTTCCTCCAAAACACATTTTAATGGAGTCGGACTGAGGATAAATATATCTACATATATAAAACTCTCACATCCATAGACGTAACTCCAACAATTCAGACTCGTTTGTAGGTTAAATAAGAATTAATTAGGATAATTAATTTAGTTATTATCAAGGTTAATGGGATTAATTCGGTTTAATTGATTTAATTACTACATTACCTTTTCATTTACTATAGGTAACGAACCGTAAATTTCATAGAAGTCTTATTTTTATTA